CCTGCGGGTGAGGGTCGTGCTGCGATGGCTCGTCCTCGTTCAGAGCCTCTCGTGAACCTCCACACACCAGTAGCACAGAGTGAGCCATTGGAAATGAAATGCTGAATTAATTTATGCCCAAACTATGGAGACACCCCTAACTAAGTCCCTCCAGGCTGGAAGCGGAGCACGCATGTTCCACAAAATTCCCCGGGGTCACGTCACATCTGCCACATTGCTAGAGCCGAGGGGATGAAGGCAGAGAGGCAGTAAACACAACATTTTCCTGCATTTGTTTTCCTGTTGTCCTTAGGGATTTTCAGATCGCCTTTGGTGCTCGCCCAGTGGCGTGACGGTGGTGGTGGTGGTGGTGGTGGTGGTCGTCGCGGTGGATTATTTATTTCTCTGACCTCAATACCGTATCTCCCAAGAACACAGACAGTTCACTGAAGAGCAATACTGTTGGATCTGTGTTTGGGAGAAGAAACTCCATCCACGGGGCCCTCCCTGAGGCTTTTAGAGGGCGAGCCCAGGAATCTGCTGAGTAGGCGAGGAGAACCTCTGTTGCGCGCCCTGCGCCGAGCCTTGGTGACCCTTATAGGGAGCTTGTGAATTTTCTCATATGGGGGAGCAGTGCGGTGAGGAAATGGCAAATACCTTGTCGGCATGGACGATTCCTAAGGAAGCAGTAGCAGCGTAGCGGTTAAGAACAGAGGCAGGTAAGGACATCGGGCTGACTCAGGGGGGGGAGCTTGCGACGCCTGATCTCAGGGTTGTGAGTTTGAGCCCCATGTAGGGTGTAGGGATGTCTTTTAAAAAAAAGGAAACCTTGAAGAAAGAAAAACACAGGCAGTTAGAGATGGACTCACAAGATTTCGAACTCCAACTTTCTATCCACTCACTGTGTGACCTCGGGCAAGTGACTTCACTTCTCTGGGCCTCTGCTTCCTCATCAGTAAAAACAGGCTGATAATCATAGTGTCTATCCCCTTGGATTGTCGGAGGAGTCCGTGAGATGCCACATGATTTTTCTCAGTGCTTCAGTGTCTGGCCCGGAGAAAGCACTAGATGCTGACAGCTCTTGGTACTCTTGTTACTGTCAGTACCAGAGGCGCTCTGCATAGTACAAAAGAGAACTTAACCAAGCCTCTGCCTTCAAAAACCTCACAGGTTTCATGGGCTGGCGAACGGAACGTGCATAAGAGGAGAGCAAGCAACTCGAGTCGTTCCCCAAGATACAGTTACATGCAAGGTCTGCAGGTCGGGATGCATCAGAGTGGCTTAGGGAGGCCCTCAGTCACTTACAGGAAGGGGCTTTAGGCAGCCCCAGGGAAGGTGATCGAGCCTTGAATGACTTATTTGCCTCCTTTTGAGAGAAGGTACTCGTAATAACGTCTGTTCATATTCACAGCCTCGCTGATCTACTGTCCTTTTGAGATAGGCAAATTGGAGTTACTTCATCGAAGAGTATGAAACATGTATGTTTCACCTGCCGAAGCAGAGCTGGCAGCCTGATCATCAGCACCTGATGTGCGAGGGGGTCCAGGGTGACATCGTGTATATTGCATTCTATACATGTGCAATCTGTCCTAAGAAGTCACCTTTGAGCTGGGCTGCTAGTGATGGCCACTAGAAGCTTTCCAAGAAGAAGGGCTTCCCGTGGGCCCTGCTTTTAATTTACCTTTTCTTTCCTTTTGCTTTCTCTTCTGCCTTTAAGAAAATTAACCACTATCTAAAACTTCCCTCATTAAACTTTAAATTATTAAAAAGATTTAAAAATGTAAAGATATGGAAGAAAATAAAATACTATTAAGAGTTCCCCCATATCTTTGCTTGCAAACTGCTATCACCGTTTCTTAAAAATTGTCTGTGTCTATTGGGACACATATAAAGGACAGGGGAGTCATACATCTGCAGACCTGTTTTTATGCCAAATGGAATCACATGCAACAACATGTCTTGGATTTGGCTTCATGGCAACACAAATAGATTGACTTCATCCTTTTCACAACTGCATAATATTCCAGTTAGCACTCCCGGCTTTTAAGATTCCATTCTGTATTTTGTCCAGTTAAGGAAAACAGAGTAGACACGTGGGAAACAGAAATGATTGGGGCATGGGGGAGGTATTGAGACACCTCAAGGAAGAGTGCAAGAACGCCAAGTTTTAAAACAGTGCCATAAAGTCTTAGCAGCTATGGGAATCAGTTGGATCAGTACTTTGGGTTACTGCTTTGCGGAAAACAGAAAATTAAGGCAAGTTTTAGGTCAAAGCCGCAAGCCAGCTCTTCCTAACACTTCTGTAACCAGAAACCATGCTTAATTTACCGAAGTCCTTTGAGGATTTAAATAGCACACGGGGCGAGCGGAACAGTGGCTGCTATTTCAACTTTCAAAACGTTTGGCAAGTTTTCCAACCCAAAGCTGTTTTTAAAAAATTGAGTCACCGTGGGATTGGAGAGCAGTGTTTTGTCCTGGTTCCTGATCCATAGCTTGGAGTTAAGAAACCAAAAAACAGAGCAAGCAACATGGACACTTTTCTGGATGGCGGGAAAGAATACAGTGGTCCACAGGGATCAGCTGGGGGACTAATTTGATTTAATATTTATAGGTGATTTGGAAGAGGGAGCATAGGGCAGAATTGGGACGTTGGCAGATGTCTTTACACTATTCCAATGAGGATCATAAACTTCAGGAAGACGTTTCTTTTGTAGGAGCAGGGATAAAAGTGGTCGGCAAGCTTCGATATGCATAAGCCCACGGAAATGTCTCTGGGGACACATTCCTGAAGCTCATTTCACAAGATTTATCACAAGCCTTACCCCTTTGTCTGTGAACAGGGTCTCTGCTTCAGGCATCAGTAGGTGCAAAGAGAGACACAATGAAGTTGCTGGTATCAGGAGGGAGATGGCATTTAAGCAACATGATATGAACATAAAAGAGGCTAGTAAGCTGACTGCCACAAGATACGTAAATAAAGAATGCTGCTTTGGGGCGCCTGGGTGGCTCAGTGGGTTAAGCCTCTGCCTTTGGCTTGGGTCATGATCCCGGGGTCCTGGGATCGAGCCCCACATCGGACTGTCTGCTCAGCGGGGAGCCTGCTTCCCCTTCTCTCTCTCTGTCTGCCTCTCTGCATACTTGTGATCTCTGTCTATCAAATAAATAAATAAAATCTTTAAAAAAAAAAAAAGAATGCTGCTTTGCGTTTCTTTAATATACCCCCAAAGGCAATTGGTGTTTGATGGTTGGTGATCTGTGTATTCGCTGATCTTCAAAGTTAAGTAAGAGGCTAGCATTTCAAAAGAAATGCAATCAAATATTCTCTTCAACTTTACTACAAAATGTTTTCCCTTCCATGGGGCACCTGGCTGGCTCAGTCAGGGCAGCTCCCAACTCTCAATCTCAAGGTCATGAGTTCGAGCCCCATGTTGGGTGTAGGGATTATTTTAAAAGAATATTTTCCTTTTCATTGGATGCCTTTTTAATTATGAGGGTCAGAACTAGATTTCCTGACCTCCTCTGCTACTGCATGTCTTTTTCAAAGCATGTCCTGAATATTGGCAGGTACATCATATCGTGGAAGGAAACACCTAACAAAACCAGATCAGTATCTTCTGGAGTTGTGGAATTTTTGGTAATAAATAATAAAGATGTCTGCCCTACCCACATCACAGTGTGGTTGAGAAGCTCAAGTAAGCTGAATGATAAGAAACTACTTTGTTCAGTGCTATGCAAAAATGTAGTAGTATTAATTATTCATTGCATGTCGTAATTTGGGATTACGAAGTGAGGGGCGCCTGCGTGGCTCAGTTAGTTAAGTGTCACCCCTGGGCTCAGGTCATGATCCAGTGTCCTTGGATGGAGCCCCACGTCAGGCTTCCTGCTCAACAGGGAGTCTGCTTCTCCCTCTGCCCCTCTCCCCTTCCCCCCTGCTCATGCTCTCTCTCAAATAAATAAATAAATAAAATCTTAAGGAAGAAGAATACGAAGTGACTAAATTCTAGGCAATCATCCTTTATAGCTATTCATGCAAATGTGTGAAGATTAGTATACAAGGATATTCTTTGTAGCATTGTTTATATTAACAAATTCTTAGAAATAACTCCATTGTTCATCAGGGATTGGATAAGTAAATTATGGTACAGCCATACAGAAGAATAAGGACAAGACAGCTGTTAAGTGATAAAAAGTTGTAAATCAGCACGACTAGTATGCTTCCAATTTGGGTTAGAATTATATGTTAGTAAAAGTGTGTGGAAACCCCTAGAAGAATATACATCAGACAGCTAGCCATGCTTCTCTCTTGGAAGGATAGGATGATGCGGGAACTTTTACTTTATGCTTTGTTTGCTTCTGTACTGTTTAAGTTGTTTACCATGAACATTATTATATTTGTAATTAAAAATACAAATGAAAGAACATGAATTTGCCCTTAACCCGACTATCGTAATGCAGGGGGGGGAGGTGTGTAAGGCAAGGGCAAATTTATACTGCCCATGGCTTGGGAATGCCTCCCAAAACAAACCCAACTCCAGGGCCTACAGGAAATGGTGGGAGGAGGAAGGGGAGGAGAAGGAAGAAGTAAAGAACACGCAGGCGTCTTTCTTTTTCCAGGGAGTAGAAAGCACACTCACAGTTAAGGTCCCTTCTGAGTGCTCCCCTAAGACGCAGGACCTCCCTTAACATAGCTCTCGTCGCTCTGAACTGCCATGGGCCCTTACTCTTCTGGATGCCATGCTGGATCCAGAACAGAGTAAGGGAGGGGACTTGGTCTGCACTGTTGTGTCCCCAACTCCTGGGGTGGGGGAATGATGTTGAATTAATGTATTAATGTTTGTTGACTGTGGAATGCTCTCCATTGCAAATAGACTTTATCTGGAGTGGTTTACTTTTGCATCCCGTGGTTTAGAAGGCTGAAGAGAGCTTATGGTCAGTTTGACCACTGGCGTCAAGTATAGTCAGCTTTTATTTTGCATGGGACCCTCCTGTGACAAACCTTTTCTTTACCTTCCCCTTTCCAGATACAGCCAGAAGGCAGCAAGGAATGGCATGAAAAATCAGTTCAACCTCCATGAGCTGAAAATGAAGGGCCCTGAGCCAGTGGTCAGTCAAATTATTGACAAGCTGAAGCATATTAACCAGGTAAGTGGTACATCGAACAAAAATGGAAATGGGGGAAAAAATGAGGGATGGTCAGGTTCCGCCATTCCAGCTGGGGCTGAAATCACAAGCTGGACACTTAACCAACTGAGCCAGCTTGTGATTTCAGCTCAGGTCATGATCACACGGTTGTGAGACCAAGCCACGATTTGGGCTCCATGTTTGGCAGGAGTCTTCTAGAGATTCTCTCTCTCCCTCTCCCCACACTCATGCATCTGTCTCAAATAAATAAATAAATCTTAAAAAAAAAAAAAAGATTTGCTTTGTTGAAAAGGACGTCTGACCCTTGATTTTCACTGCATTTTTACTTAATTCTATTTTTTTGGTAATCACGACACCCAGCGTGGAGCTCGAACCCATGATCCTGAGATCAAGAGTCACATACACTTCCGACTAAGCCAGCCAGGGACCCCTTCACCCCACTTTAAAATTATAAAGATAATATTGTAATATTAGAGAAAGCTTGGAAAATAGAGGGAAAAATATTTCTCACAATCCCACTACCCTATCCTGTTTTCATTTTTAGTTGTTCTTTTCTAACGTTTGTCCAGAAAACCACACTCACACGGACTTGTTACGTAATTGGAACTACACAAGTGATTTATAGTTCTTAAAATTAACATTATATTGGAATCACTTTTTCATGTTGTCACAAATCTTCATATTAATCATTTTTTGTGGCCGCCTAAGATTTCTTTAAGTATTCATGATAATTAATCAGTTTGCTTTTGCTGGATATTGACATTGTTTCAAATTTTTTATCCTCATAAAGAAAGCTACGTCTTCATGCGTGGAGCTTTCTCCTGATCTTCAATCATTTTCTTAAAATACTGGTGTTATCAGGTTAAAGGATGTGAGCATTTTAATGCATGTTTCCAAATTGCTTTCCAATGGGGGCATGTATCAGCTCTCACTGCCAGTAGGAAGATACTAGAAGACGAGCTTCACCGCACCCTTGCCTCCTTCTGACTCACTGCCCTGCACAGAGACACCCACAGATTCCCTTGACCTGTACACAGTTTTCCTCTCATGAGGAGTTTAGTAACTAAGACACAAATAGAAGTTAGTTGTACCATCTGCTTGTGATTGCTTTGTGGCCACAAAAAAAAAAAAAAAAGGCCACCAAAAGTGCCACCGTATACCAGAATGACAGTGTTCCTGCCCCGTGATCCATGAGTGGGAGGGCCCTGCACCACGGACTTCTATTTGTAGCTTCAAAAGAACTTAATGCAACTCAAATCCTTATGCGGGGTCAGAGGTTTGTGCGTGAAGACGTTGGCATGGCTTTATTTTTTAATACAAAGGTTAGCAATGACATTTTTGTGGTTCTTAGAAAATGTCTGGAAGGGCTCTCTAATAGTGGTGTATTTCACTGCAAATGGCTTTGCAGAAGTATTTACAGCACACTCGGGTGTGACCCCTCCCGTGCTAAGAAAGTGCCCTGCACTCAGTGAGCATTGAATGAATAGTTGTGAGTGTGGCACATGGTAACAGCAGTGGTGTTGGGAAAGAGCCTTCTTTCTGTGAATTCACAACCTCACGAAGTTCTACAGAGCCTGGCGATATGTGATAGGATTTCTCCAGAACACATCTCTGAAGGGTTCAGAGCACAGCGTAAACCACTCACGTGAGGGCATGGTACAGCTTCACCTGGGGACACCAGTGGCCATTTTTCCTCTGAATCCTTTCCAGATTATCTCTAACCAGCTCTAGCTGGGTGGCAACACTCGACTGGTTAGAAGATCAAAGGCCTGTGGATGGACCCCCTCACTGGAAAAAAGGAATGCCGCGTCATGTCAGATGTGGGCTTCCATCTGACCTAACGGTCCCTAGAAAATCCAGTCTTGTAACAGAGATATTGAGTGTTCAGTATTCATACTGTGGGAGACCATGTCGCATAGTGGGAAGAGCATGGGCTTTGGATCCAGATGGACCTGAATTTGGCTGTGGATCTCACCAGGTATAGAACTTTGGGCAAGTCATCGGACCTGCGCTATAGTTTTCTCATCTGTAGTACAGACAGATATCAAAACCTCTTTTATAAGGTTCTTGTGAGGATCAGAAATTTTATATATACCTCCATTATAGAAAGCTTAAATCTAATTACAGATATAATGTATTTTATGTATTATATGTTTTTACCCATGTATACAAATCTATGTAATTGCCTATGCCCAGCAGATAATAAATGGCAGTTGAAATGATTATAATTCAGGATTTCCTCCGTAGGCAGGACTTGAGTTTGAAAGGGGGGCATGATTCCAGATTTTTGTTTTGTTTTGTTTTGTTTTTTGCCTGTCTATCTAATCTGCTTCCCCAGTTTTGTGTGGTTGTAGATTCCTTTGGTGTGTCTCTCTTCTCTGCTCTCCCATATTGTTTCCTTCTGTCCCCTTCCTCTGTCTTCCAGCCACAGAAGCTGAAACCACCTCATGGGTAGGGAAGCGTGTGAGAGTGGGAAAAGGCATCATTACAATTTCTTTCTCCCACCTCTGCCGTGAATGTGTGTGTGAACATTTTTGGTTCCCTTACAAATATTATTGAGCAACCAATGAATTCTCATTGATAGACCAGTTTTACCTGTTTAAGTAGAGCTGTTAACATTGCCTGGGCTTCAAACACCCACAGGGACTTCTTTTTCTCATCTGTCTTGCTTTACATGGCCCGAACACATTTGTTTTCAGGCCTTCAATAAAATTCCGATTTGGGCCGTGATTCAGTCTGAAAGTGAGACATTTTAAGAAAGTGAGAGAAGGATGTTACCATGATGCTAATGATGGCAAAGAAGGTGATGACCTGTTGTGTTTGTTGAGCACATAAGCATATTTCGGAGGGATTTCATGTGCTGAAAGTCTAACTGGCCGTACTGGGGGGAGAAAAGTCAACCCGGCACAGAGTTGTCCTTTTCAAGAACTCATTGTTACCTTTGGACGTTAATTCATCCTTACTGACCCCTTTGGGGGTAAGTGATATATATTCGTTGTCCCCTTTTTTTTTTTATAACTAGGGAAACTGAGGCAGAAAGCCATCAAAGGCTGGGTGGGCATGCCGCCCAAACAACCAGCACGTTCAGTTGAAGATTGAAGATTTGATCAATCATCCAGGTGTTGTTTCCAATACACAGCCAAACATTTGGATGCACTGAATGCCTGACTCAGTGCACCACATGTTGCGGGGACTGGGTGGGGGGAGGTGGAGAGAACCAAGTTAATGCGCCCAAGTTCCATAGAAGTGAGTGGTGAGTCCCGGAGCGTAAACGTAGACTACTTCCTTCTCTCTGTCTGTGCTTGTAGGCTCACGTGCATCCATCCAGATGGACCGTGGCTGGGCCACTTAGGAGTACTTCCCAAAGTAACTCTTCACTTTCTTCCGTGGAAATTCTCAGCTGCCTCCTTTCAGGTTACAGTTGCCGTCGATAGCGCTGGAAATACTATACTCTCTAAGGGAATAAAGTAACATTATTTCCATATTGACGGTCCCGTGGTGTAACCTTGAGGGGATGGGTTCAGGGTCAGGCCCCGGGCCCCTTTCCTGGGAAGGCCTGCAGGTGTGGAATGGCCTCCCCGCCTCCTTCCAAGCCAGAGTTCATGTGTAACATTCCCACGATTGGAAATGAGGACGTTTTTATTTCCTTTTCAGTTTCTAATTTGTGTGAGGATTTATTGTCTTGTGTTAGCAGAGCCGTTGAACTCCTTTAAGCCCCCAGTGTCCATTCTGAAATTTGCTGGGCCATATTGCTTTAAACACACACACACACGCACACATACACACACAAGTTTTGTTTTTGTTAGTGTTCTGCTCCGAGGCTCCTGTGTGCAGGGAAGACCCCCCAAACACCAAGAATGATCACAATACATTCTTACCCAGATGATCCTGCGGGCCGTTTGCCCTCTAACCCAGCTCTGTCGGTGACATTTTCTCTCTCTCCGAGAGTAGCCGTGGAGTTAGTGTGAATTTTAGCGGTCCCTGAACTGTTCTCCCTTATTCTTCCCCAGGAAAACCTCACTGTTTATTGTTTTCCCCCAGTTTCAGTTCCGGTTCAAATGAAATTCCAGAAATTGTTTCCCTGCCTGTTGTAAACAGCTGAAGCCAGTCGATACCTGCCCATTTGGTGTCCGAGCTTTTCATTCAAAGCTGGATAAAGTCTCATCTGTTTGGGCTGGTTGAAATGTCCGGCTGAATGGCGGGGGAGTGGACGAGGTGGCCTCTTAAGATTCCGTCCAGCCGTGTGATTCCGTGATTTGTGGCTCAAGGTCAGCCTTTAACCCAGCACCCTCTTGTGAACAAGTCTTGTGACTTTATTCTCTGCTTTGCCACTCTTTTTAAAACACCCTGTTCCCAGGTCACCCCTTTCTACTCTTTTCAGAGATTGTTCTCTTCCCACCAGTTTTCCATCCTGGGCAGATGGAACTTCAACTTGCCCTTCCCCTGCCCCCCACCCCACCCAATTCTTCTGTCCTACCGCCTTGTTCCCACTAGGCTATGAAAACATTAAATTAGAAAACCACTTTTGCATTTATTACCCCTAAAGTTTCCCTCCTCGGGTCAGATAGGCGACTGGTCTCTGGGTCAGGTTAGCCATGTGACTCCACTGGAATGATAATAATTCCTCCATTTATAAAGCTCTTTCACGAACATTCGATGAAACTGATCTTCACAGTGACTCTGAGAAGGGGGCATCATTACCTCCATTTAGCAGATGAAGAAACAGGGGGCACGGGAAGACCAGGTGAGCTACAGATTGTAAGTGGGAGGCCTAGACCTAGGATCCAGGGTCACTGATTTCTGGCTGTGCGCTCTGGCCTTCTGCTTCTTTGAAGCCACGCCCACCTTGCGATGATTAGCAAGATCATCCTATCTGGTGATCATGCTATCTGGTGTGGAAACGGAGACCCTTGGTGACATGGCTCTGAGTTAGGCCCAGCAGAAAAACTTTCTATTGGCTATCTCAAATTTATAAAAGGATGGCAGATGGCCGAAGAAAA